ACTGGAACAATATTCTTTCAGATAGAAAACATCAGTGGTTGTTTTTGAAATATTTGCAAAAATACTAGATTTGAATCAGATATCATCTTCAGGATTGCTACACACTATGGTATTTGAAAGAGGTAACATTTCACCTACATGAAACACTGTCCTGCTCAATGGTGGACAAATGTTTCGGAATAAGAAACTTGCCTTTTCAGCACCAATCTTGATATCACAAGAGAAATCACTCAATTCAAGTTTCCCCATATTTTAGTTATTCATTTTAAAGGATTTTCTCAAACAGAAAGATTTAGAGGCAAGTTAAATGTCGCCATCGAATTTCCTCTAGATGGATTAGATATGAACAATTATGCAGCATATAATGTGACTCCTTGTCGCTATAATCTATATGCACTTTCGAATCACAGTGGGTCTACCTACAGCGGACATTATACAGCATTCTGCAGACATCCTTATAATGGCACGTGGCACGAATACAATGATTCACAAGTGTCACCAATTTCACCAAAATCGCTTGTGAGTGGAGATGCATACATCCTCTTTTATGAAAAGGAGGAAACGATTTCGCACCTTTGAGCGTTTTGTAAAGTTATTTTTGAACTGCGCATTTCAATGTAATGTATTATCTAGTTAAATGTTTATGATTTAAATGAAGTAAACGACAACGCTAGGACAGTGGGTCATTCATTAACAAAATTACAAATTCATGAGTTAAATTGTATGTCATCTATTACAGTACGTAATGACATTCGTTTGGTTATTTGATTTGATCCCAGCCAAAGGAATTTTGTTCAAATTGAAAAGGGTCTATTTTTAGGAGAGATTAATTTACGGGACAGGAATATTTTGGAGACTGTGGCCAGTAGCCGTACAAAATTCAACTGACCCAGAAACTGAAGGTAAACGACCATAGACAACGACGTGTGTTCGCTAAATAGGCTTTGAACCAGTTGGCAACTGTCTCTAATTTTCATGAAAAATCATCTTCAGCGATGAGGCCCATTTCTGGATGAGTGGGTACGTGAACAAACAAAATTATCGAATTTGGTACGATACCAATTCGCATGAGATCCAATAGTGTTCAATGCATCCCGAAAAAGTCACTGTTTGGTGTGGTGTCACTGGTTGGGATGGCGGCGTCATCGGTCTATATTTATTTGAGAACGACGTTCGCCAGGTCATTCATTACTGTCAACAGCGAGCGCTATAGGTCGATGATTACCAGTTTCTTTCCTCTTGAATTGGATTATCTGGACACCAATGACATGTGGTTTCAACAGGACGGCGTGATGGTGATTGAATTGCCCACCGAGATCGGGTCGATTTGACCCCGTTAGACTTTCTCGTGTGGAGTTTTCTCAAGCCGCAGATGTATACGAATGAGCTGAAACAACAGCGGTCCTAAAGCCAACATAACCCATGTCATTGATCAAATTCAATCTAATTTATGCGCTAAAGTCATGGAAAATTGGACGTTTCGGCTGCGCACCATCCAGAGAAGCCGTGACGGGCATTTGAACGATGTTGTATTCCACATATAAAAAAAATTGATGATATCTCACTCACATGCATATGTAAATCCCACTTCATATGTCGATCTATCGTGACACCAAGGTATTTCACCGATATTGCTGAAGAAATTTGTTTGTTCAAGCCTACTTTAGAGGGACCTAAGTTCGGTAATCCGCTAATACAAGATGTAATTGGTAAGTACCATGTTTTTTTGGTAATTAACCGTTAATTTATTGAATTGGAACCTTTCCAAAATTTTAGGAAAATCATTTTCAACGGTTTGTTCCATAAGTTAAAGAAGTGTACCATCGGCGAAACTGACAATTTGATCAGTGGTGTTTAAAGAAAACAGACTATTCATATAGATAGTGAAAAGAAGTGGCCCCAGCACAGTGCCTTGAGGAACACTAGAGGTCACAGTTCTGGGAACATTTAGAACACCATCAATTACAACACTCTGTTCGTGATTTGATTAATAACTGGACAAAAGGTTGTATGTAATCTAACGGATGCCATAATCATTCAGCTTTCGTAGAAGGGTTTTGTGATATACAGTGTCAAAAGCCCTATAAATATTCCAAGAATGGGTATTTTTATCATTGGGCAGTAAAGAAGTTGGTCTACTGATTTTTAATTTATCCCAATCTTTATATACAGGTTTCATCAATCCACATTTTAAAACCTCTGGAAACCACCCAGAATCGAAAGATTTGTTACATAAAAATGTTAGCTACTTCTTTCTAAGTTTCTGATCGAATATTATCATATCCGGGTGACATTCTTGGTTTTAATTTTTCAATTGTTTCCATAATTTCGAACTCATTTAGGTACATCGTGGGTTCCAGATTGACCAATTCAACTCTATAATTTTGTAAATTTGGTATATTGTTTGCTAAGTTTTTTCCCAATTCGCTATAATGCTTTTTGTAATCATCGGCTATCTTCATTTTGTCTGTGATGATAGACCCATTATCTAATTTTATTTTGTCAATAACTTTTTGTACATTTTCTCCACGCATGTTCTTAACAAACTGCCAAATAGCTTTGGAGTTATTTTCACTTTTTTGTATTTGTTGTGAATAGAATGTTTTCTCAGCTACCTTGACGATTTTCTGAAGCTTATTTCTGCTACATATATTTATTTCAGTTCGTTGTTATTTGAATCTTTCAATGACATTTGATACAATTTTTGTTTCACATTTATAAATTTAAGTATTGCCGCGGTGCGCCATTTTTTCCTGTGTATATTTTTTCTTTTTATTTTAACAGTGTTGTTGTTTATTGTGCGCATCGGCTTATCCTTGTGTTGCCTCAGGAGTGAAGTATTCTTTGCTGCTTTTATGCGAGCCTTTTGCTGAACGAGTTCCAATTCTCTGACAAAGTTGTGGTCACATCTTTCAGTGTCAAAAATAAAACAAAAATCGTCAGCAGCTGTCTCAAAAAAAAATGCTGCAATTTCTGCTCTCTCATGGTAGCGGACCATGCAGAGAAGAGGATGAGAACTCCTGATGACCTTACAGACTCCATTAAGTACCATTCTGTCATGTAGACACAACAAACCCAAAAGTCTACAGCCTTCCTGTTGTCCGGGAAAGTATACCCGTGATACGAATTATTCGGGATTTAAATTCCTTATATCATTATTATTATCAAAATTGTTAATGTCTCGCATTCTAATTGAGAGTTAATGACTGAATAAATGAAATGAATAATTCAATAATACACTTTTAATCCATGAAAAGAGTAAATAAACGGGTGCAAGAATGGTACCTTGGGGAACATTTCGAGCTAACATTCTAGTATCCTACCTTCTGTTCTGATACCACGTCTTCACCTGCGTCTCGCTGAGATTGAGGGCGTCCGCCACGTCGCTTCTGTCAGCGACGGAGAGGTACTTTTGGCACCGAAATTTCCGTTCGAGATACGCCAGCTGAGCGTGCGTGAATGCAGTCCGTCTGCGACGTGGCTTGCGGCTCTTCGACGCCTCCGATTGGGCGTCGCCGCCCCCGAAGAAGCTCTTAGAGGCGGGCGACGGTGGAGTCTCGACGTTGCGGTAGTCGGAAGTATCGGGATCGGAATCGGGGAACCCTGAAATGAAGGAAGGGTAATTTTTGAGATTTCGTTAAAAGTTTCTTCGTAATGAAAATAATAATGATGAACCGTTTATTTTCAACAAGTACATGAACCCATTTAAGGAAGAATACAATGGAAAAATATTTATTTATTTACGGGACAAGCCCAAGTCAGTAAAATACAGGTACAACAGTTTAGAAACTTGGAAACTAATGAAATTATTCACGAGATCACAAAATGCTTTAATAAATAGTTGTAAAAACTATATAGGGAGTCATCAATATAAATGCAATATCACGAGAAGATGATGTAAAAGAATCCCGATGATCAAATTGGTTTGCTAGGTATCTTTGGACACTTGACAGGCAATTGTTGTAACCATAAAAATGGTTCAATCGAACTTAATGTGAAAAGTTAGGTTAGTTCCTCGATATGAATTGTGTCATTTTACAAATTCTACCCATTTCACAATAAAGTGGAGGTAGAATTTCGTGTAACTGGAATTTTATACTTCAACACCAACGAATTCCGATACCTTTTGCGACTGAAAATTCAATTTTACCAATTTCCTACTTATATAGCTATTTTATAAACATATTGAAGACATTTCTGGGAGAAGTACAGTTTTATAATTTGTTTCTCCTAAACGTTTTCGCAACTATTATAAAACATAAAATTGCTTGTTGGAAGCTATTGTATACCAAAACACGTGTTACTTTTTTGTAAAACTGTGTAGTGAAAATCACACAATGAAGTGTTTCTTGAATATATAATACATTGATTTCTTACACACTCAATTTGATTTTGATTTGATTCAAAATTAGTGACTATTCTAATATTCACAACATATGTAGATGTTGTGAATATTAGAATATTAGAAATAGTTAAAAGCCAATAGAGATTATATACGAAGACTTCACAAGTTTTTTCACATTTTTAGAGTCACGATGAAAATTTATGTGAATGTGATAGCGCTTCAGGAAGCTATTGTATAACGAAACACGTGTCGCGGTTTGTGTAAAACCCTTTATAGTGAAAATCATATAAAAAACTGTATTAATTAGTTTTGTAATATCTATAATACTTATTCGAAATAAAAAGAGGTTTCACGATCGTTTGTAGCAGAACCAAGTTGCAACATCGAACACTGTAGGTATGAGAAATCGCATTCCATCTTTTTCTACAGCTACAAGGCCATTTGATAAACTCAAGTTCAAAATTGAAGAGAAAAGCAGCAAATTTCTCGTTCCGTCCTTCGTGGGGGCAGATTTTCATGTATTTGGTGTTGGAACAGATGTTGTAATTATGGGATCGCACAGGCACCGCTCTTAGAGCGCCACAAAGATTTTTCTGTAGTGCTTGTGTTCTATCCTTTAGAAAAAAGTAATCTAGTTGGCATGCAGTTGAAACTGCATAGTAAAAGAGAAATCGATTTGACGGTCGATATTGAAGCTAGGTTCTACAACAGACTGTCGCGGGTACCGTTGTTCATTTAGGATGAGCAAAGTTTGAGATTTTTGTACCAAACTCATTTATCTTAGGTCTTTGAGGACAGTTCAACAATATTCATGGGCCAACAATACATCTGTGGTTCATCCTAGCGCCGAAAATGAGACTATGGCAGGTTAAAACAGACCCAACAGGTTTTGGTTTTTGGTTTTTGGATGAATACTCATATAACTAGACAAACCATACGCGAAGAAAGTATTGTGAAGTTGAGTTTCTCGGAACAATTTCGTAAGTATTTCATAATCAACCTATTGATCAATACGAAAGCCAATAGAGATTTTATAAGAAGACTTCACAAATTTTTTCACATTTTTAGAGTCACGTTCGGAACGAACTAATGAAAATTTATGTGAATGTGATAGCGCTTCAGGAAGCTATTGTATAACGAAACACGTGTCGCGGTTTGTGTAAAACCCTTTTTAGTGAAAATCATATAAAAAACTGTATTAATTAGTTTTGTACCATCTATAATACTTATTCGAAATAAACAGCAGTTTCACGATCGTTTGTAGCAGAACCAAGTTTCAACATCGAACACTGTAGGTATGAGAAATCGCATTCCATCTTTCTCTGCAGCTACAAGGCCATTTGATAAACTTAAGTTCAAAATTGGAGAGAAAAGCAGCAAATTTCTCGTTCCGTCCTTCGTGGGGGCAGATTTTCATGTATTTGGTGTTGGAACAGATGTTGTAATTATGGGTACGTACAGGCACCGCTCTTAGAGCGCCTCAAGGATTTTTCTGTAGTGCTTGTGTTTTATCCTTAAAAAAATCATCTAGTTGCCTTTTTTTCTAAATTATTTCAATTCCTAAAAACATATCCAATCAAACTCGTTTCACATCAAAACCCTCTCAGTAGCCCTTCGGGCAGTAATTAAATCCGTCTTCACCACTTCAAACAGCAGGAATCTTGCGAGGCCCTCCAATTAGACCCCTGTTGTCTTCTATATGCGTTTTGAGCAGTTTACGTTACGAATTAATGAAAAAAACGCTTTGTTTTTCTCGTCCTGGGGACAGAGCCTTCTTTGTGTTTTGCCCGGACTAACGCTCCTCACAAATGTTTTACGTTCTTGAGTAGTGTCTGGTTGTTTCTGAAGTGATTTTATGTGTTTTGTCTTCACGTTCTGTGCCTCCGGGTTATGCGGAACTGTGATAATTATTCTTTGTGTAAATGAGAAAAAATGCACGAATATAAGATAACATCAACGAAGTGGTATGCTTTTTCCTGACTTTTTCCTTTTTTCGTTTGTCAATTGCTATTCGAGAATTGCAAAATACGTTTTTGAGTATTCAACCTGCTGGTGGTGGAAAGATCTTCAGCATGATTATAATAATCATGAATTGAAGTAGGTTCCTAACATTATCGAGATTATTTTTAATCTATACTTCACTTCAACACGCGGTTGAAACGTAGTCAAACTTCACCAAATGAATCCAGCTTCCTAACCAAGCAGATTACTTTACTTGGTGAATGATCTTTCTGTTCAGCTTGAAAAGCGGGCACTATCTGCTACCAGAGCCTGAATTTCTCAGAGAAGAATAATCGACTTCCAGGTTGACAGAACTACAACGGTTTGACATGGACATGATCAGCTGTCAGTCTGCGACTGACATTTGTGGCTTGGGAAATAGATCTTCTATGACTCATTCCAGAGAGGTGCCCTCTCATCAAAGCTGCACGGAACTAACTGCACCACCAGGCAGAAGGGAGATATTCACAGTGTCTCAGGAAAATTCGTAAAAAGAAATACAGCTAGATCACCCTGTACATGTCTAATTCACATACTTTACATGAAACAACAATGAAAGAGCGGGAAATTCAAAATTTGTGTACAAAAATCTATAATTTTCACAAAATAGACAACCGGCAGAAGATGTAAATTAATGTCAAATGGAAACGATATGATATCTGTTGAATAAAATTGGAAGAGACATCATAAAATTGTTGTAAATATTTAGAAATAATGAAAAGTTTGAAAATTATTGTNATAAGTGGCAAGGAACTAATCCCTGAGGAATATCACTAATAGATTTTAGCACTTTTAAAGGTAACTCTTTCAATTTTACCTGTTGCTGGAAATCATCTATGCAAAACGTACACAATAAAAGTTTTGAAGGATTCCAGAATAAAAAGCTAGTTTAATTGATCCAAAAACTATTTCTCGTTCAACTATTGATTCAAAAAATATAAAAGAATAATGATAATTCTACGATAACATATATTTTTGCAAAACATTAAATTTACCTTCTTGGGAATTAGTATTGCTCAGCACATCCCCTAACAAGTCCTTTATCATAAATGATTTATGCTCTTGCATCATACTGCAGAAGTTAATATAAATCACGTCACACCATCTCACTATTTCCGCCGACACAATTTAGGCAAAAAGACTAAAGCAAAAACTGTTTTCACTTTTGCCGAACAGCTCAGGAAACAATCCACGTAGAGATAACATCTACGATAAATAACAAGAAGTTAAAGATATAAGCGTTTCTGCCACAGCACCCCTAATAAACGCCAACCCCTACGTTGGTAGGCTCCACCCTTGGAATAGGAAGCGCCTCCCTTTCTTAACCCTTCGCGATCATCCGAAAACATTCTCGTAAACTCTTTTCCGTATCCGATTACTTATGTTGTTTATTATATGTTGAATTGGACATGGAATTAATGACTTGTTCTGGTGCTGTCTTTCAGTTATTTTCAGGTTAACTTGATAGCTCGGTTCACATTTTTTCAATGTAAAATGACCCATTTATTTAAACATGCTTAGTTAGTTATTGAGAACACTTCTTTGTTTTCAATAAAATTCGTTAGCAACGATCTAATAGTTTCTGAATACATATATGATTAGCAAACAAGCAATCATTCCTTATGATTCAATTTCTTAAATGTCAATTTCATGTTATGATGATGATGTTAATTTGATACTGTCGTAGGTAAATTATTATATAGACGAACACATTTATCAATAACAAAATTTATTAACAACAAAACACAACAGCAAACAAAACACGAAAAAGACAATTACAGGGTAACCTCGAGGAACTAACGCGAAGTCTTTTCTCGATCAGCGAGAGGCTCTAAAGCGGGTTAGGTTCTCGGCAGAAACCCCTGAGTAAGAAATAGTTTCTGTCCGAAATCTCAGAACAGAATGAATGCATCGGCTAAGAAATGTGTTCGAAGTAAATCTCGAACAATCATCACTGACAAAATGGTTGGGGTCATGAATGTAGTCGAGAAGGGTCAACCACTTGTGCCTGAATTCCTTGTCTTAATCCATAAAAGTGTTAACAATGAGTACCTACTCGAAACATCCCAAGTGGTGAACTCACTCTGAGTGAAGAACATATTTTTTTAATATTGAACGAATTGTTTTTTAATGATACTCATCTGGAGTAGTTGTAAATAAACAACGAGACATACTATATGATAACAGGGGGAAATTGCTCTCTGTTGTTGCTCTGTTGACTCCAAGGTTCGTCTTCAAATGAATGTTACGTAAAAAATTATTCCAAAGGTAAGTTGATCTATACTTAAAGACAACATAAAAATGATATGACAAGCAATTTATGTAGAAAAAATATGATTGATTTCAGGTTAGGAACTGTATTACATTGTAGTTCAGTGTCAAACGTGTTAGATTTGTCAATGTTAATGATAATTGAGTTTAAATTTGTATAATCAAGAATAATTGAAATGACTTTTCTCTGAGAAAGCGCGGTCATCCCTACCAAATGAAATTAATTTCAGCTTTTCACATATAGGAAGTTACTTGTGACGAATCTTGTGAACGGAAGACGTTGCACAGGTGCCTGGCGGTTTCACTTCAGCTTTCTGCGCGGCATTAGCTGGATTAGCTGTTGTTTTTCCTCAAGACGCCCAAAGTCTGGTTGAGATACGTTGACGATACCTTCACAATATGGAACCATGAGAATACAGAACTAGACACCTTTCTGAAGCGCAAGACCTACCATCACCTGCACAATGGAGAAGAAAGTCCACAACGAATTGCCATTCTTAGACGTTTTGGTGAAGAGGACCGACACTAAGTGGAAAACATCTGTAAACCGAAAACCCACACGGGACAGTATCTGAATCACAAATCTATTCATAATCAATCTACCAAAAGAGGAATCATCACGACTCTAGTAGACCGTGCTTTCGGGCTCTGTAATACAAAGGAAGGTCTTGAGAAGGAACTAGGCACCATCAAAAACGATCTTCAACGAAATGGTCACTCCAAAGTGATGGTGAAACATACTTTGGCTAGAAGACAGCAAGAGCCGCGCAAGGAAGAGAAGCCGTCACAACCAGAGCTTGCACTTCCCTACATCAAAGGATTGTCGGAAATAATGAGAAAAATTGGGTCCAAGTACAACATCAGAACCTGTTTCAGATCGGGAAACACCATCCGTAGCAGCCTCACGAAAATCAGATCACCAAACGCGAACTGCGATTCCAAGAATTGCATTTACCGGATACCCTGTGAGTGCCGCAAATCCTATATCGGTGAAACTAAGAGGCCATTGAAAGTCCACCAACGATAAGGATCTAGCAAATCGAGAATAGCAGAGTGTGTTTGGACTCACCAACATAACATCAAGTGGTCCCAAGCCGAGATCATCCTCGAGGTGGAACACTGGGAACACTGGTTCAAGAGGAAATTCAAAGAAGCTGCATATGTTGTCCAACGACGCATTCAGCCAAGCTAGTGCAGAGATACGCAACATGTGGAAACTCATAATCAAGCGAAAAACGGTCATCTCCCGCTAAACCGGTGAAGCGGAGAGAGGGAATAAGGGATAGGTGAAAGCACTCGAGTGACCATTTTAGGATTTTTTACTTGATATAACTGTTAGTATTAATTTTTCTTTCAGTTTAATTTGTTCTTTCAGGGATTTCAATTCATTCCATATCATATTAGACAATGGAAGTCCGAACTAATGTAATTTTTTTGTTCTAGTTACTCAGATACTAAAATGATCCACCAGGCACTGACGAGGGGATAATAGTCCGAAACCGGTCTGTAGATGGTCATGCCGATAAAATTAAATCAATTTCAGATTTTCATATATAAGAAGTTACTTGCGACGAACGACGAAAATCGTACGTCTCACATGAGAGGCGAAGATTTGGTATTTTTACCGAAACTTAACAAAACATAGTCGGCACATCCAACAGGTTACATTTCTCAACCATGAGGATGTACAAAAATATTGAGAAGACGAATGACGTCACATTTGAATTTCATTTTAAAAATATGAGAAGAGAAAAATACATTTCTGTGCTAACTACCCACTGTGACCAATTACCATATAGTCTGAACGATCGATCTCCACTTGCTACCGTCCAACCCGTGTTAGGAATCACACGTTTAAAAGGTAAGACCTCGTTAATCCTTAGCTCGCACAAGTTTCGACTTCTGAGGGTTGTCGTTCGTAGGGGTGTGACAGCTGGTTAACGGAAAAACAGATTTTAAACAGAAACAGATTTTAAACATCCAACAGGTTACATTTCTCAACCATGAGAATGTACAAAAATATTGAGAAGAAGAATGACATGACATTTGAATTTCATTTTAAAAATATGAGAAGAGAAAAATACATTTCTGTGCTAACTACTCACTGTGACCAATTAACATCCTATAAAGAAACATTAAACCTACTAAAATTCGATCAGATAAGTTTTCAGTTGCAACATTAGAAAAACTGTTAATTTGATATCTTCTTGAGACGAAATAATCTAATTGCACGACAAATGACATTTCGAGAAGCAACCTGTTAGCAGAATTGATTTATTCATATAAAATCATATCTAGTATTAAAGCTCAAAGCACATCTGAAAGAAGCTTTGAACGAACACGAGAAACCACGAGGCATAGTAGGAATTTTACTAAAACTACATTTATATTCTATAGAAAGCAATACTGTTAAGAGGTTGTTTCTCGACATGTCTTTCATGGCACAACCAGGCCAATGTCATTATAAAAACATTATTTAAACTTTCAAACCATTTAAGTGACATCTATTCTTTTCTCTCATCGTGAGATAATTTTTTCCGAATTCTGAATTCTAAAATAATTGATGAATTATTGACTCCGGATCCTCTTGTGCTAAAATTTTGAAATCAATTATTTTAATGTGGATTCAAATTGCTCCACTTCATTTATTCCTTCTTCCATATTCCACTGAACAAACCCCGTTCCATTTACACCAAAATACAAAAACATTTTTCTATTCCTTTCTGCCAACCCAGCCAAACCAAACATTTCAGCTCGCCCTGTAGGCCCACAAATCCCTGTCCGAGACGCGTGCAGCTTTAACAAACCCAATCGGTGCATGCATTGAAAAGCAATCAACCATCATTTCATCGTACACGTTCTTATTATGGACTAATGGCCCTCCAATCACGATCCCTGTGGGCCACTCTTTCTAATGGGCCTGTGTGTCCACTTGACTCTTTACCGAGCCATTGTGCTCCTCGCCTTCTTGTTATCCTTTGGTTGTTGGAGATGCATCGATTGTCTTTTGTTCTCGGGTGGACATAGGTGGGAAGGCCGCAGGACTTCGTTGGATTCGAGTGTGATAACTTCTTGTTTGTAAGAAAAGAGTCATTTTATTATGAACTTGTGTAACAAAAATTCTTGTTTAATCAGAATCAAAGAACTAACAGAAGTATTTATAGAAGAAATATATATAAATAATATGAATTAATTATTAAGAAATCACCGATAATCAAAATAGAATTCGTGTCCTACTTGAAGAAACAAGAAGTCCTGAAGAACGGTTTCAAATCAAAAGGAAATAGAATATATATTGCTCAAGATCGCTAAGAGGTAGAGCGAAACATTTCAATGCAAAAATCATGGGAACATCTCTAATTGTTAACTGAGATACATACAACTTGAAGCAACTGAAAGAATCTGGAATTCTAATCACGGAACAAATGAAANTGTAGGGTCGTTACATCAATTTCCTTCACTATGAAATTTGTGTCATCTGCATACGCTACTGTGTGAATAGTTGACAATCCTTGAAAATATTTCATCAGGTCATTTGCATATATCAAAAATAGTATAGGTCCAAGGATTGATCCCTGTGGGACACCCTGCCTAATGGTTGCCAACTGACTGAGAGTGTTTCCAACACTGACACAGAACAAATGAAAGAAAATACTCAAATCAATAAGGGTAAAAAAACAAAAAATCTCCAAGATTTGAAATCGTCCGAACTCATTACTAGCAAAACATAAATCAAAAAAAAAAATAACGCTCCAGAAATCATAATTTGGGAAGCAAGTTGGCTTCTTGGCATTATCAGAAGATAAACGCAAGTCGAAAATTAATATCAAAGTAGTATGAATGAAATTCCAGGTCGGAATCTAGTTTGGTCTTTTATTTTCTATTCTTTCAGACAAATCGACTCTAGTTTGGCCATAGGTCTTGGTAGATCTATGCGTCATGGAAGGTTGATTAACGCACTCTGGCAAGATAGAGGTGAATGTCTTGATTTTTACACAGTTCATTTTCTGAAAGAGTAGAAAGTTAGGGAAATGAAATCACGATTTTATCTACAATGATTTCAGTTATTCCTGACGGC